GTTCTTGGGAGTGAAGACCACGGGTTGGAAGAGTGGACCAAGATGCCCATCAACCCATAGCCGCAAGTGTATGTGCCCTTTATCAGTCGCAACTAGGGGTGTAAACAAGCCGAGCCGAGCTCGAGTCAGAGTAGGCTCGAGCTAGAGCTCGTTAATGGAGGCTCGGCTCGAGTTTGAGCTCGAGCTCGAGAACTGATGCTTGAGCTCGAGTTTGGTAATTTTTAGGCTGCTCGATTGTTCGAGTTCGAGCTCGATTTTGACATTGAATTTGACGTATTTAATACTTTTGATTTAAAATTTAAACTACTTTGTTTTATCCATACATAAATAATAGAAATCTTTTAGGGATTTTGAGTTTAAAATTTTAATTTCTAATTGTCATTTATATATATTATTATTATATTATGTGCTATATTATATATTATATGGCTCGACGAGCCACGAGCCTAGAATATCTAGGCTCGGCTCATGCTCGATTACTAAACGAGCTGCTCGAGCTCGAGCCGAGCTTTGACCGAGCCGCTCGCAAGCAGATCGCGAGCTACTCGGCTCATTTACACCCTTAGTCACTACATTTCCTGTTAATCTGCCATGTCTCGCAAGGAAGTAAGAGGACTTCAATTGCCCACCAACCAACAGCCCAACTAAATGACACATCCTATTGGCCATAAATCTCTTCGTTGACGGCCTACCATGGTGCGCCATGGTCAGGTCGAGGCCTAAGAGGTTTGCTAGACCAAGGTGGACCAGCCTGTCTACGGTTCACCACCCTCGACCGCATTGGCAGGTATGGTTAGATGGTACCAGCCGGCTGAGCGGGAGGCAACCCCCCACCCCCCTCCTCATCCCCCTTGGGTGTTATTTCCTCTTACTCTATTTTTCACTTCGCCAAACGTGCCCTTAGTGCTATTTCCCTATTTGCATTGTTGCACCCTGTACTTTATGCCCCACCTCACTTTCGCCCCCAAACTTTTTTCCTTCCGTCACTTTGTACCCATCCCTCTAGTATTTACACCTCAACCCATCCCTCTAGTATTTACACCTCAACTCCGTAACTCTACTTCTTAAACTCCAAAAACCTTGCAATCATTATTGTGTGGACCATGGTCCATACAAGTTGTGGAAGTCATATTTTGTATGTTATAAAATAATGTACATTTAATACAAAAATAATGTACTTTTAGTATATTAATAATGTACATTGTATTCAGGAAAAATATATTATTTGAGTACTGAAATTACATTATTTTGTATAATGAACATTCAATACACAATTAATGTACATTTAATATATTAAAAATGCATTTTTTGTTATGGTCCACACGACATTGTGTGGACCATGATTTGCTAAAACCTCGGTGATGGGCTTCAACTATTTTTCAAACCCAATAACCCCAAAATCTCTACTCCCTGACCCAACTTATCCTTGGATCCAGGCCCCATGGTTCTATCAACAACAATTAAAAAAAATGCCCATTAGCAATATTGGGGCAAATTATGCCCTGGACCCGTGTCCACAATGAATTGTGGACACGGGTCCAAAATGACGTCGTTTTTCAAAAAAATGCGTCATTTAGTTATTAAAAAAAAAAAATGCGCGCGTTTTGCCGTTAACGGCGTTATTATTTTTTTTTAGATTATGAATGTACAGTTATGCCGTTATCAATGTACAGTTATGCAATTATGAAATTATGAACACAGAGCTCTAACATTATGAACTTACAATTATGAACATATATAGTGATAAAATTATGACCATGGAGCTTTAAAATTGTGAAATAGAGCTTCGAAGATTATGAATGTACAGTTATGGAGTTATGAATGTACAGTTATAGAGTTATGAATCTACAGTTATGGAGTTATGAATCTACAGTTATGAGATTATGAATCTACAGTATGGAATTATGAATGTACAGTTATTGATCGGATTATGAACAAAGAGCTCTAACATTATGAACTTACAATTATGAACATATAGTGATAAAATTATGAACATAGAGCTCTAAAATTGTGAACATAGAGCTTCGAAAATTATGAATGTACAATTATGGAGTTATGAATGTACAATTATGGAGTTATGAATGTACAGTTATGGAGTTATGAATGTACAGTTATAGAGTTATGAACGTACAGTTATGGAGTTATGAATGTACAGTTATTAACATATAGTAATAAAATTATGAACATATACTCCTATAACGAAGCTGTCTGAATTTTTTTTTTTTTTAAAAAAAAAAAAAAAAAAAAAAAAAAAAGAAGGAGATAACAGTGCCTAACGGCACTGTTACCCGTGTCCAGCAAGCATGCTGGACACGGGTCCAACACATAACGATTGCAATATTGGGCAATTTATATCCTACACCACGGCGCGCGTTGCACTATGCGCCCAGATGCAAAACGACGTCGTTTTATTTATTTTTATTTTTTTTGAAATTTCCCACCCCAGTGAATGGCAGTAGTTTTTTCTTTAAAAAAAAACCCCGCTGTTCAAGAATGTACATAATGTTATACTAGAATACACATAATTGTATACATGAATGTACATAATTATATAACAAAATATACATACTCTTTTTAAAAGATAATACACATAATCTAACATAATACATAATAAACATAAACTTTTAACATAATACACATCAACTATTAACATAATACACACAAATTTTCTGATTCGGATGTACATAATTGTATAAAAAGAATGTACATAATTGTATAAAAAATGTACATAACTGTATGAACCAATACACATAACTGTATGAACAAATACACATAACTGTGTGAACAAATACACATAATCCCAGCAACTTCCTACCGCGCCTCCCAAAACGACCCCAAAACGACGTCGTTTTGGGAGGCGCGCGGCACACAGTGCTATGTGCGCCGTGGTGTAGGGTATAACGATTGGCAATATTGAGTATCATATAATAATTTAGTAGATTATCATATGGTGAATAACAGAACAAGTAAAGGTAAGCACCTTTTAGGAACTTTATGCTGTGCAACCGTGTGCAACATGGAAGGTGCACACAGAATTTGATTTATAATTTCTATATTATAGATTCATAAATTCTATATTATAGATTCATAATTCTTATACTATAAATTCATAATTTCTATACTGTAGATTCATAATTTATATACTATAGATTTATAATTTTTAAACTGTATAGTTATCAAATTATAAACATATAGTTAGTGATTTGTGAATACAGAGTTCAACAATTTGGAATATGAATATTGAAAATTATGAACATAGAGTTTTGTAATTGTGAATATAGAGTTCAATAATTATGAATCTATAGTATAAAAATTATGAATCCAATTCCGCATGGTGCACACGGTTGCATAGCATAATTTGCCCACTTTTATTGACCAAATTGTAAATGCTCACTACTATTACATACTATATATAATAATACCATAGAGAATGCATTAATAAATAATAACGTACAACTCTAATAAAAAAATACTCCGTACAACCAACATGAAGCCTTCCTTCTTTGCACCACTAACACTATCCATTGCATGACAAACACATTGTGCTCAGATGGCATGTAGTGATCTCTCTCATGTGGGAGGTCATGAGATCAAGTCTCAGTGGGGGTGTTGTTGACTTTTTGTTCTTCATTAGGCATTATCGTCCTGCCCAATCTACGTATTTTGTGCAAAGCTCCCAATCTATGCATTCTCGTCATTAAACGCAGCATCAACGGCAACCAATCCTCCTGACCAAACAGCCGATGGCGAGGCGACGGGGGCGTACGGCAACCTGCGAGACTATTCGAAGGGCGTACAAGAAGCAAAGCTCCCAATCTATGCATTCTCGTCATTAAACGCAGCATCAACGGCAACCAATCCTCCTGACCAAACAGCCGATGGCGAGGCGACGGGGGCGTACGGCAACCTGTGAGACTATTCGAAGGGCGTACAAGAAGCTTCCACGATGTCGAAATCCTCCTGACCAAATAGCCGATGGCGACGATCGTAGGTAGCATAAAGAGTGCAAGTGCAAAGCTCCCAATCTATGCATTCTCGTCATTCGTAGGTAGCGTAAAGAGTGCAAAGCTCCCAATCTATGCATTCTCGTAATTAAACGCAACATTTCGTAGGTAGCGTAAAGAGTGCAAAGCTCCCAATCTATGCATTCTCGTAATTAAACGCAACATCAACGGCAACGGCAACCTGCGAGACTATTGCGTAAGCTCCCAATCTATGCATTCTCGTAATTAAACGCAACATCAACGGCAACGGCAACCTGCGAGACTATTGCGTAATCCTCTTCGAAAAGGTTGCAGACCAAACAGCCGGTGGCGACGATTGTAGGTAGCGTAAAGAGTGCGATTAAAGATGTAGTTTCTTGTCCTCGTGGTGACGCATCTCTCCTCAAGCTTCTCAAGAAAATGTGCGATTAAAGATGTAGTTTCTTGTCCTCGTGGTGACGCATCTCTCCTCAAGCTTCTCAAGAAAATTATGTAATCTAACTGTATAATAAAGCAAGAAGTTTTTGCCAATTCGTTTTCCCGCCCAAAGTATATGCACCGTTTTGATAATCTGTAATATTTGCTTTTTATTTAATGCTGTTTACACTACACTTCACATTGTGAAAAGGCTCAGCCGAATTTTCTATTAGTTTTGACAACAAATTTGAATTGCTTTATAATTTCCCAAGTGAGTAATACGTAGGTAATTAAATGCATAACAAATCCGAAAGTACACTACATTGTAAAACTAAATTAAAAGTAACTATAGCAATAATAACACGTATATATATACGAACTTATTACAAACCAAATCAGAGATCATAGAATATATAATATGTTTACTAGTATTTGACCCGTGCGATGCACGGGATGTTATTTAAACATTTTTAATTGTGTGTATTTCATGTTAAAATTTGTGTGATATATTTGGGAATACAACAAAAAAAAAACGTATGAAAATGATATGTTACAAATAGTTGCAAGGTGTTGGTAATATAAAAAGAATACATTACAAAATTACAAATGATTGAAAACTTCATGATATACAACATTAGTGGTTGATGTAGTAGTTGAACTTGAGTCTTTTACAATCAATATTTTGAGACCGTTTGGATTATTAACCTGAGATGCAGCTACGTACAACTGACCGTGTACAAAAACTGGTTTCTTTAGTATTAAACCTACATGAGTCACCGTTTGGCCTTGACTTTTGTTTATGGTCATCGCATATGAAAGCATCAATGGGAATTGCCTTCGTTGAAACTTGAATGGCAATTTTGGATCCAAGGGTGACATTGACATTCGGGGGATTAATACTTTTGTACCTTTGTTGGGACCAATGAGAAGCTCGCCTTCAATAACATGGTCTGCTAACTTTGTGATTATCAACCGAGTTCCATTGCACAACCCAAGAGAATGGTCAATATTTCTCATTAACATTACTGGTGAGCCGGTTTTCAAATTCAGTGTATGATTTGGTAGACCCGACACGCAAATGCTATTTAGAAATTCCGGTGTGTGTACATCTCCAAGTATACCATTATCGCCGTCGACTTTGCATACTGCGTCTGAACTATAGTATGACCTGCTTTCGGCATTACGCAACTCAGTCATATATTCATTAACTGCGTTGACCACGTCGAGCGTTGGTGCTAGTATAACACGACTTATCAGACGCTCGGGGTCAGTGTTTCCATTTGCAAACATTAGAAATGTACTTTCCACAATTGCTTTAATGTCGTCCCCCCCCCCCCCCCCCCCCCCTCGGATGATACTAACATGTGATTAGGCATTTCAACCTCTGCGAATCCGTCATTCCGCCCACCCAGCTTTCCATCGCCGATATTGGCAATCCAGTTAGCAAACTCTTGTAATGCCTGCCGGTTCACACCGTTGTGTACCGAACTTGTTCTGAGGTTTTTAGTCAACCTTAAAACTTTGCAACTATCCCATAGATATGATGAATTTATGGCGGAAGAAACAATGTCTTGCCGTGTACCTTTTGGAACTACTGGAAGAATTTGGCGGAAATCTCCACCCAGAACATCTGTTTTACCACCAAACGTCTTCATTTCACTATTAGGGTCCACAAAACGCAACAAATCCCGCATGTTTCGATCTAACGCTTCAAAGCAATGTTTGTGCATCATGGGAGCTTCATCCCAAATTATCAAGCTCGTCTTTATCAACAATTCAGCCAAGTCGCTACCTTTTTTAATGTTACAAGTAGAGTCCTCATTTATTGCAATAGGTATTGCAAATATCGAGTGTGCAGTTCGGCCACCTGGTAACAACAAAGAAGCTATGCCACTTGATGCGACATTTAAAACGATCTGGCCTTTGCATCGGACTGCAGCGGATAACGCTCTCCACAAGAAAGTATTTCTTGTTCCACCGTATCCATAAACAAAAAATAAGCCACCTTTATTGGTTGCAATATCTTGGATAACAGTATAAAAAATATACATGTTACCATTCAAAAAAAAAAAGATGTGCTCAAATATAGAGAAATTCTAAAAGAGGACAAACTGTTTGAAGAGGAAGAAAACAGTCATGAAGATTTAGAGGTAAGACTTTCTGACTCAAAGTTTGAAATACCTATGTAACTCTAAATCTATTACTATAACTGAAAATTATTTCTTAATTTTCAGGAAGCATCAAGAGGAGAAGAGGTGAACAGTCCTGTAACTGTTCAACCCTCACAAAAAAATGGGAATGAGGTTGGTGATGTTGGAAGACATTTATAGAAAAGATCTTTTCCTTATTTAATTTTCCCTAATTTTGTGGTCAAACCCCACTGCCTTGTCAGTTGTTACATGGATCATTCAACCCATGAATTTAGCCCATGATGATCCTTTTCTTTTTTCCGTGCTGTGTGTGGCTTTGCAAGATGAATGTCAGTGGCATTCTACACTATGAATTGCCAACTTGTTATACACAGAAAGGACACGCCAAAAGCACTACTATATTTCCTACAACCTTGTGTCTGAGCATATACATATTCTTACGCTGTGTTACCGGTCGGAAGCTACTATACTCGGGAGTTGCCGAGAAATAGCTTTTAAAGGAGTGTTCTTGCGAACACGACACAGTTCATTTTGCTATCAATCCACTCCCTGCCTTCATCTCCTTGTCGACATTGTTCCTTGAAAATACAACAGTTAAAAGCTATTTCCCAAACAATGTCGACATATGTGTATTCCAGTACATCCACCTTCGGAAATACATTCTAGCAGTGTGTATATTTGTGCACTTTCTCAGGTTGCAGATTGTGTCACCAGCCTTCAACATTTTTGGCAGCAAATGATATACGGGATTGATGTTGTTCATAGGCAGAGAATCCATGCTGATAAAAAAATGAAAAATGGAGTTTGTCGACTCCATTTACCAAGCAGCTTTGTATGAGCCTTAAATACATTCATGCGGCACATGAGAGTCCCCAAAATAACAGTGACAACAATGCAGCCTTTGTGTCACGTGACTCGTTGCCAACTCTTTCACCCGATCGAGGAAATGCAGAATCAGTGGAATTAGGGAGGAGCCAAGAAAGGAAAAACTTTTGAGAGCTTAAATTGGGAAAAATGCAGAGAAGAAAGTAAGAAGCTAATAATAAAGTCAAACCCATTATTGCTCACAAGGTGCAAATTTGAACCAGCAAGAACAAGAGAAGATTTGATGGTTTATGGAGGCTAAGAAGATTTTGTCGAACCTCAGCTAAGTATTATATATTAATGCCTCCTCCTTGATCTTGTGTATTAATGCTTTAATTTACGTATGTTTATTCAAACATGCATGCATACACATCACTAACAGTTTTATTTGGCATCATTGGCTATTTGGCTATGCATTATTCATGTAGATAACTTTTGAAATAAGATTGCAGAATGACATTTGCATGATTAAGATGTTAACTACATTAAGACACGTAATAAGGTGCTATTTTCAGAATATACATGACTCAGTTCACACTGGCATTCATGCTTTGCATCCCACATGTATATCTCCTTTAATTTATGTTGTTTGGTGCTCCTAAATTTAAGTGCAAGCAATTATAGTTATGATGATATATGTGATTATCCTTTTGTAGTATATTGATCTTGAAGAATTGAAATGGCAAGATCATTATGTTATTTAAACAGGCTTTCTTAGTTATAGCGTCCAAGATATAAATTTAATCTTGATAATTAATATCTCATGTTATTATGTCTATGTGTAAGCATGTATGCATTTCTTGGGCAAAAAAAAAAAAATGTTTGTGTTTGGATAATATGTTATACATATATGTTATTGGCACATGTCTTTAGAAAAATGAAGCATGTACTTGATTTATTTTATAATGGTTACAAGCACATATCAAAGGCTAGTTTAAATTGTTAAAATTAGTGACAAATTTGGTTGAAATATATTTCAGTATTGAATGTGTATTAACCAAGTGCAAAGTTGATATAAAGTTTGCATAGCTCAGTCTACTAAGGAGCCAATGTTGGGTACTAAAGACTAGTATGGGTAAGAGGTCAAATTAATATCTGGAGCCTTGCTGAACAAGGCAAGAATTAAGTTAGTTTTTGAGTGGTCCAAATAATAATAATGTTTCTTCTACTTATATCTCAGTCTCAGTAAATGTTTGGCATGGTAGGCTATGGCATGTTGGCTTAAACTGCTTAAATAGATTGAAAAACATGGATTCATTGCCGAATTTGATTACTGATTCATATTCTCAATGTGAAATATGTGCTGAAGCTAAGTTTGCTAGAAAATCATTTTATGTTGTTAATATTCGTGTTACACCAATTTTAGAATTGATTCATTCCGATTTAGCAGATTTTAAAAGCACTAAGAGTAAAGGTGGAAAGCGTTATTATGTCACCTTTATCGATGATTTTTCTCGCTTTACAAAAATTTATTTGTTAAGAACGAAAGACGAAGCTGAACAAAAATTCTTGAATTTTAAATCAAAAGTAGAGAATCAATTAGACAAAAAGATTAAAAGGCTTCATTCTGATAGGGGAGGAGAATATGAAACAAAGTTTATGAAAATTTTGTGTGAAAATTCTGGTATCATTCATGAAGTAACTGGTCCCTATACCCTTCAACAAAACGGCATAGCTGAAAGGAAAAATATAACTCTGAAAGAAATTATTAATGTCATGCTAATCAGTGCAAGTGCTCAAAATTCCCTTTGTGGGGATGTTGTGTTAACAGCAAATCATATTCTAAACAAAGTACCTTATAAAGGGTTTGATAAAACCCTCTATGAGTTGTGGAAAGGGCATGACCCAACCTCAATTACCTTAAAGTGTGGGGGTGCCTAGCAAATATGGGACTTCCGTCCTTCAAAAGACCTAACTTAGGGTCTAAAACCTTAGATGTCGTATTTGTGGGATATGTTGAGAATAGCGCTGCATATAAGTTTATGTGTTTAAAGAATCGCTCAATCTGTGAGTCTTGAGATGCTATTTTCTTCGAACACATATTCCCCTTAAAAGAGGCTGACAAATTATCTGGAAGTAGTTATCCTTGAAGTGATCATTCACACCTTCCTTTGACTAGTGTTTTTGATGATTCTTGTGAGCCTAGAAGAAGCAAAAGGCTTAGAACTGAGAAAAGTTTTGGCTCCGATTTTATAACATTTATAACTGAACTGCAAGACATAAATGAGATATGTGATAATTTTTTTTTTTTTTGTCAATTGTTCTAGAAGAAGAGCCAAAAAACCTTTAACGATGTTATGTGATCTGTTGATTGCACGTTGTGGAAAGAAGCCATCAAATGTGATATTTGACTCAATTAAGTCAAATATCACTTGGGAGTTGGTAAATCTCCCAAAAAGATGTAAACCTGTTGGTTGTATATGGATCTTCGAAATGAAGTTAAGACCAGATGGGTGTATTGAAAGATTCAAAGCTAGGCTTGTAGCTAAAGGCTACACACAGAGATTTGGTGAAGATTACTTTGATAACTATTCACCCGTAACAAAAATCTCAACCATTCGTGTTCTGTTTGCCTTAGCTTCAATGCAAAGGTTGTTAGTCCACCAGATGGACGTCAAAACAACATTTTTCAATGGTGATTTGGAAGAACAAATCTATAAGGAACAACCTCCTGGATGTGCCGAACCTGGCCAAGAAGAAAAGGTATGTAGACTCAAAAGTCTTTGTATGGCTTGAAGTAAGCTCCTAAACAATGGTATGAAAAGTTCCATAATACTTTGTTAGACTTAGGTTACACTGCTAATAGGTCAGATGCTTGCTTATATTTGAAAGAAATTGAGTCTACAGTTGTGATTATTTGCCTTTATGTAGATGATATGTTGATATTTAGTCCAAACATTAACAGAATCAATGAAACTAGGACTTTATATACCAAGTTTGATATGAAGGATCTGGGAGAAGCCAACGTGATTCTTGGGGTAAAAGTCACAAAAACTATCAAGGGTTATCATCTGGCTCAAAGCCATTATACAGAAAAACTATTAAAGAAGTTCAATAGTTTTGATGTGACCCAGGCTAAAACCCCTTATGATTCAAGTATCAAACTATTTAAGAACATAGAGGAAGGTACATCTCAAGGAGAATATGCCAAAATAATTGGAAGTTTAATGTTCTTAATGAATTATACTAGACCTGATATTGCCTTTGCAGTGAATAGACTCAGTCACTATACTCACAACCCAGGTAGTGCACATTGGAATGCACTAAACCGAGTACTTCGGTATCTCAGAGGCACTTTGGATTGGGGTCTTGACGATGTAGGATTCCCAGCGATGATGGAAGGGTTCTGTGATGCGAACTGGGTCAATGAGGGCGATGATGCTAGCTCTACTAGTGGATACGTGTTCACTATGTGCGAAGCAGCAGTGTCATGGAAATCGACTAAACAATCGTGTATAGATAGATCAACTATGGAAGCAAATTTCATAGCTCTTGATCTAGCAAGCCAAGAAGCAGAGTGGTTGAGAAACTTATTAGCGGATATACCATTGTGGGGGTGTCCAACACCTTCTGTGCCGTTGCATTGTGATTCGCAAACGGCTATTTGTGTTACGAAGAATAGTGCCTATAATGGAAAGAGAAGGCATATAAGAGTCAGACATGAGTCTGTACGACAATTG